AGTGTGGGAAGTCTGCATTGGTTGAGAAAGGGTTTCAATCACTAGCTAGCTCTGCAGAAAATCACTAATGGCTAAGAAGACTCCAAAATCATTCTAAAAGGAAATAGCCAAATGCATCTTTTGGAGAGGCATGGTCTCTGGTTTGAAGAACTGCTTTAATGGGGCTTTTAATTCTGCAAAGAGAAGCCTACAGCTTGGGTAGGGTAAAAGAGGCAGGGAAAAGGAGGGCAAAATTTTGCTCTCAGACTATGATAAAAGGTATCTGTACTAGTCAGTAAGGTTTTGATGTTTTCTAATTCCACCACCTGACCTAAAATGCTAAAGTCTAAGCAAAATGTACAATGGAGAGGTGAGTCTGTTCAGTATGGCAGGAAGACAGGACCGAAGACAAATTCTGAAGGTGCTACTCACAAAGCTGGATGTTTCATATTCAGTTTTATGTTCTTTGAAAAATACCCCTCATTAAGCCTTCTTCCACGCAAGCCGAATGTGTTGGCAAAGTCAGCTGGTGTCAGTGCTGCCCTAAGGAACCCAAGGAGCACTGTGCCTGTGTGTGGGGATGATGTAGACCAGATGTCCTGGGGAACCTTAGGTAAAGATGAGAGGTCAAGAGGTGGAAGATGAGAACCTGAAGGCAGGAAGTCAGAGTGGTGCCCAGGAAAGCGTAATCATCTATAGAAATTCTAGAAATTGGGAGGAGACAGAATTTCTTGCAATCTATATTATAGCACTATTTTTGTACAGTAAAAGAAAGGAAATCCTGAATGAAATAGGACTTAGAGCCTTTTGGGTCACTCTGGGTCACAATACTCAGATTTGAATCTTGGTAGTTTATAGTTTTTGGGCTTTATTTAACAACAGAAACCCTTTAAACAAATGAAATGTTCTATGGAACCTAATGTACAAAACATAAAATCTGAGTTGCTGTAATAAAACAGGATAGGTGTTTAGATGCATGCCCTCCTGTGCCCGCAGCTCTGTGGAATGCCAGGATACCAGAGACACAGTTTGGAACCATAGGAATCTGCCTTTCAGTATTCCAGATGGTTGCTCACTCTGCCTGATTGCTCAGTACCTGCTAAGCAGTGCACCCCTCCAGACAGGGCATTCTTCCTCCTTCCAAAGAAAATCTCAGCTCTACTTATTGGGGAGACTTCTACCAACTAGTTTTAGTGAAAAAATCAAAATAAGCCTTATTATTTCCATGTCACAGCTCTTCAATTCTTAGATGGCTTCTTATTCCTTTCCCTAAGTTGTATTTGTTCCAAGCTAAATGTTCTTCATCCTTCAACTATTCTCAAATTGTTTTTAAATTCATGTATTACTTGGGATCAGAAATTACTAGCATCAACTGGAAAAAACAAACTGAGCAGAGAACCGGCATTCACTTAAGATAAAACAAGGCCCCACAAAAGAGGGGCACAACCACACACACTGAGAGGCACTGAACTAAGAACAGCCCAGAGCACATCTTCCTTGCTTAGCCCTGAGAAGTGGCCGGAAATGAAGCCCAACTTCATTTAGCCAAGGGACATCCTGGGATCACTCCTGGCCCTGGCAGTCACCAATCAGGGACAGGAAGGGGTTAGTGATCAGCACCAGGGGGATTAAGCTCTTCGTTTACTGTTCTGGAAAAACTCCTCAGCAGTGGGCTTGGGGCTGCCCATCAGCTGTGCCTAGTATGAGCTACTTTCAGCTCATCTTAATTACCTCACTGCACACCTGAGAGCTGCTGGCCCCGGGCAATGCCACGGACTCTGATACCTGAACAGTGCCATTCTAGAACCTTGGATCCATTGATTTTTTTCTGAGCAGGATGTGTTGGCCCATCTGCACCATTTGATTACTAGTAGTGGGACTGATGATGTGTGCTCAGTTTTGGTAGAGCCCATGGGGCGGGAGGTGAGTTTGGAAGGTTAGGGCTGGTTGCACAACTAGAAAGTGCCCACGTGACCAGCTTACTACGACGGGCTCACAACCAAGCCCACATCCACCTCAAACACAGTCTGAGCTCCCTGGTACCAACGGGCTTCATGTGCACAGAGGCAGGAGCTTGAGACCTGGAGATGATGAGCCAACTGTGCCACCGACCGTCAGAGGACCTAGGAGCAGGCACCTGAGCTAGCAAGGCAATTCCTACTGTCCCTCTCTTTGCTGCGCGGCTGTCCTTTGACAGTGCTAAGGTTGTCTGCATCCACTGTGTGAGGCTGGTGCTCTCATTCAGCAGCAGAGCATGGGACACTTTACAAGTGCTTCAGGCAGTGAGTGACTCAGATACAGTCTGAGCCCGAAGGAGGCTAGTAAAGCGTTGGTGTGGGCTCTTACAGCACTGGGGTTTGTAAAGGTGGGAGGGGTTGATGAAGGACAATGTTTCAGTTCTGCTGAACTTTAATGAAGCTCCTCCCAAAAAACAAGCCACACAGGTTACTACAGTAGACTGTTTCTGAATCTGACAGAACATGTCTGTCCCAGATTGCCAGTGTATATGCAAGAGGAAGGGAAAGATGGGCCAGGGATGGAGCTCAGCAGCACAGTGCCTGCCTGGAGAGCACAAGGCCTTGAGTCCGATTCCTGGTACTAAGTAAATAAATAAATATGGATGTAAAAGAAGATGCAAGAAAACCACTGCGCTGACCTTCATTTCTTTCTCGAAGCCTCCTTTATTTGGACCCCACACCTCTTCGAAGAAGCACTGCGGTTTCATTGTGTAAGGTCTTCTCTCCACAAATAGAACACTGCAGACACTCTTCAATCCTCAAAGTTCCATGTGCAAGTGACTCTGAACATGAGTGAATTAGAGCCACCGGACTGAAGAAAGAACCAAGGAACCCGACTTTGGCCAGGAGCTATTAAAACAGAGGCTCGGGAAGCAATTAGTTCAAGGGAAAGAGAACTCGAGTGAACGCATACACACTCACATAAACCTGTGCACGCACACATGTAATTCTTACACATCACACATGTGGAAAAAGTAAAAACGAAACAAAATAGACTCCTTCTCAGCTAGGTTCTGAGTTATATGTGAGCTCTTGAGCTGCTTTGGGACCACTGTAGTTTTCTCATCTATAATATGGCAACAGTTTTTACTGTGCACAGTTCTGATGAGGACTAAGAGAATTTGTGTGCTATTCACGCTATTGAACTGATAAACACTGCTGAAAGATGTCCAGATGAGCAATTTTGACCAAGATATGCAGACTTTCTTTCTTCCATGTTATATGAAGAGAAAAGAAGGGAAAATGAAAATCAGAGAAGGGTCAAGGAGGAAAGAGCTGCTTGGCCATGGAGGGAACTACACTCATTTATCCCTATCTGCCCTCTCTAGAACAATCCACAAAAGGTCAACCAGGAAATCCACCACTCAACAGTCAGTCAAAGCATAGGTCCCAGCATCCTACCTCCCATCATCTACCTGCAACAGAGGAAGGAGACAAGAGGGAGCCTCGCTGCAGGTGTATGGGAGGTCAGATCTGGAGGAGCTCTATAGTCCTTGTCTATTTTATATACTACAAAATCCTGGCCCATTCCACATGCTTATTTTATCTCATGCTTACAGTTATCCTGAGGGAAGGGTAACCAAAAGCATAACTAAGATTCTGAGTTTGTGCTGAGGTATAGCTCAGTGGTAGAATGCTTGCCTAGTGTGCATGAGGCCCTGGGTTTGATCCTCAGCAAAAGGAAGGCAGGAAGGAAGGAAAGAGGGAGGGAGGGAGGGAAGGAAGGAGGAAAGGAAGGAGGAAAGGAGGGAGAAAGAAAATGAAGGAAGGAGGGAGGGAGGGAGGGAGGGAAGCAGGGAGGGAGGGAAGCAGGGAGGGAGGGAGGCATCTGAGTTACACTGCCCAAAGCGATCATCCAGTAAAGGCTCAACCACATGCAGGCCTGGACCTCCTCATTACTGTAGTTTTCTCCTTTCTACTCATTGACTCTCTCTCAGGCTTTCTCAGGGAATGTGACCTGGATGGGGGAGGGGAGTTGCATGACCCTTTTCAGGCAGCCCTCACCCATTAGGGTTGGTTAAATGCCAGCCTTTAGCACATTCCTGTGGCTTCCAGAGGGGCGCCTAGCAGGATCAAGCCCAGTTACCCAGACTGGTAATGATCCACCCGTAAAACACATGCTTCTTGACTCCCACTTCCTGTCTCCCTTTCCCCACGCCCCTATGTGTCCCCTGGAATCCCCTCCTGTGCAAACGCCAGCACCAAATCATTACCAGGTCTACTTTCAGAGGAGCCCAAACTGAGACAAGTTCCAAAGTTCACGTTACATTTTCAATTACTGCTGTTGTATTTCCAATTCCTTTATGTTCCTGCCAACCCCAAAAGCAATAATGACCAGGGGTGGCTGATCAGTCAGACCCTGAGAGTAACACTTTCAGTGCTTGGGAAAGGGAAATTCTCTCTCCACACACAGGCAGCTACTCCTGCACATTCACAAAGCATCCATCCTGCCAATAGCTCCCCAGCTTCATGGCAAGGTGTAAAGTTTTCCAGGGTCTCTACTAATGCAGGTTCAGATCCAGCTTGGCTTCTTCAGTCAGTAGACAACAGGTTTTAGAATATATCCCCAAAATAGGGTATTATTTCTCAGTTCAAGAAAATAACTGAATTCACAGGAGTAAGAGAAAATCGTACACATGCTCAAAGCATTTACATTATAGAGAACAACATGACCTCAACATGGAGTCTCAATTTCTCAACTCTGCATACATACTTCTGGGAGATTTTGAGAGATTTCAATACAATACCTAAAAATGACCAGCTACTTTTTTTTTTTTTAAAGTAAAAGGAGATGCCCAGTTATTGGTAGTTGACTTTATAGTCAGCTGTACGGTTTCCGTGGGTGGAGGATGTTTCGATTCTAAAATGTGTTTATGTAACATTCTTACATGAAAATCAGAGGCAGCACCACCCACGACGTGAGACAAGCATTTCTCCTGCAGTTTTTCCTGGTCCAGAGATGCCAGACCAGTGAGTTACGCGCAAAAGGCTCACACAGCTCACTTTTGTTTTATAAGACTAACCATTTATTTAACAAAATAGACATTTGTAATGTCTAGTGCTTTCTACATTTAAAATTTCTGGAAAGTAAGACTCACATTCTACAGTATACATTATTACAAAAGAGTTAATTATAAATTTAGATCAACTAGAACACTTTCTCTAATGATTAAGGATTCGCTGCCCTTTAGTGAAGTGCAGTGACAAGTTCTAAAAAGCCCACGCCCCACTGGAGGAGAGGATCGCTAGGAAGCCCCTCCCTGTTGCTGATCTAGGAGGAGGAGCTCTGGCAGGATAAAACAGAGGAAGCTCACTTCTCTATTTTTGTTTCTCAGGGCAAGTGTAAGTCCTTTCAACCTGGGAAAGAACTCAGAAGTAATGGAGGTTGTCCTTTCCCCGCTCCTGAAGTGTGCTCTGCTCTGCCATTCGCTTGTGTGCTGACCGCTGTGTGTCCAGCTGTCCTGAGTGCAAGTGTGTGAGAGACCTTCTGAGTAAGGTACAGCACCTGAGAGAGAGAACCACAGACCCCGAAGGTCTTTCTCTCACACGCTGCGGAAGCTAAGATCACTTGTGCCTTACAGAATCGGGGGGCTCTATCCCCAGATGCAAAGTACACGTTCCAGGTTTCTCCATGGCAAAGGCCGGGTGAACGCCCTCACTGAATCTGTGCCGCACAAGGAAGAGCAGCTGCCCGCTCTCCGCGTTGATGAACGCAAGCCTCTGGCCGGCGTAGTCCAGCAGGATGCCCACACGGCCAGGGCGCTCGGTTACATGGACGTCACTCACGATGCCACTGTAGAAAAATGTGTACCTGAAAGGAGACAGACGGGAAATTTGAGAATTTTGGAAATTTTGAAGAATTTGGGAAGAAAAATCACATGGAAATAACTGATTTTTCAGTCATTAGCTTCAATTAAAAATAACTAGTTGCAGGAATGTTGTTCCAAACATGTTCCCAGATTCCTCCTGTGTGCTAAATACATAGCTCATCCCAACAGACAAACATTTTGAATAAATTTCTCCCTCTACATTAGGAGGTTGTCCCAGAATAGCCAACATATGCCTCCCTTGTGATTTTCTCAACATTCTAATTCTTTCCCAGCTGCCCACATGTTTCAACTACCGCATTCATGGTCTGTCATTCTTTTGAATAAAACTCTTTGGAGGCTGCCATGTATTTAAAAAAGGCTTACCTTCCATACAACGCATTAATTTTAGTTTTAAAGATTTATAGGAAACTTACATAAGGGACTTTGTGAGGTTAGAAGATTTCATTATTTTGCCAGCCACATGCTATAAATCCATACCCCCTGCCCCAAACCAACTTTCCTGTCCATTTCCTTCATGTTTTCCACAGCTTTGCAGCCAGGAGGCAAGGCCTTTGCTTTCTCTCTTTAATTCCAATAAACCCAACGCATGCTCTTGGGGAATACTGGTGTATCTGGTGCAGCTCTGGGCAGTGTGGAGGATGTGAAGGACTACAGAGGAACCCCTATGGCACAGCCAGACAGGAGAACTGTCACTGAGTGAAAGCAGAATGAGGGCTGAAAGTCGTCGTCAGGTACACGCTGCCAGGGCACTGCTTTGGTTATGGAAGGAAGGTCAAGGCAGGGCTGAGCGGGAGAGATTGCTGACCTTCACCAAAATGCTTAACTGCCACAAAGGTAGCACGTTTGGGGCTTTCTCCTACTAGACTTAGCAACTGAGAATGAGGCTCTGAAATCAAGAGAAGAGAAGAAATGAGAGACGGAAGAAAAGAGATGCTGGAGAAACATCTCTGTGGAACAGGTCTGTGTGTGGAGGAGGGCACTCAGGTAATCTGAGGTCCTGGGATCTGAGTAAGTGCTCAGGCAGCAGCGACAGGGACCTTCAGACCTATGATGTTGTCCTGAGGCCCAGAAATTCAAGCATTTGGGGGATGACAAGTCATCAGCTTCACACAAAGAGAAGCTCACGAGGCAGGATGAAGGCTCTGAAGACAGGACATGAGATACACAGATGGCCAAGGACCTTTCAACGCCTGTGAACACGAGGGATGACAGGACACTGCCCGGTTCCAGAAGCCACAGCCACACTGCATTTCATGTGGCAGGGACGGGGACAGCAGTGTGGCCAGAGCCCTTAAAGAAGCCTCTGGGGACAGAGGAGCTCGTGCTCCAAGGAGGAATGTGCCACCCATGATACAGATGCTTCCTGGCTCCCCTTCCTATCTCTCTTTACCACTTCCCCATGTATTCCCCTGGAATCTCCTCCTTGGAAATGCCAGCCCACAGGCAGCAATTTGCAAACCCCTGGTATAGACCAGCGCTGGAGAAGTGCTGGAGACCCTTGTTTTTGAGAAAGAGTCCCTTTAGCATCACCTGCTGGCATCTCTCCACCTTAGAGCCAGTTCAGGAGGAAAAACTGGCTGTGCATAGCCTGACTGTCCCTTCTCTTTCCTGCCTTTTGGCCATGAGGAGACTCGTCTCTCTCCCTCTGCTCCCCTCTCACCTCTCCAGGGACCAGTTCTGCTCTGTGGGGAGGGAGGTAGACCCCACCATACTGCTGGGTCAGTCTGTCTTCCCAGCAGCAGAGTTCAGTATAAGAAGCTCTCTTGTCCTCAGGTATGGGCCATGTTCTATAAAAACATCTACCTCAGTAATTAGAGTAATAGTTCAGTCTCTGTGTATTTGACTCTTAATATTGCTCTTAGTTGGCTCAGAACCTAGGCAGGGGCAATGCTCCTTACTAGGTGGGGGTCACTGGAAAACATGAGGAGAGGTAGGGTTCCAGCTTACCTCTGTGGTTCTGAGCAGTGCATGTACCACGAGGTCTCTCCCTGTCCCAGCGCCCCGGCCCGCACAGCCGAGCTGGAGCAGATACCAAGTCGATAAGCAGGACAGTTGGTGACCGTAGTTTCCCAGTAATGTAGGCCGCAGGCGGGCAGCTCTTCACCCAGCACCGACGGGATTCTGCAAGCAAAGTTGATCAGATTAAGCTCAGCACAGGAATCTCCACCCATTCCCTCCTGAGCAGCCACATTCCCCTCACACTCTCTTTATGCAGAATTCCACCTCTGGAAACTGCTGAAACTGGGCTCAAGTCATTCTCTGTTCATACTCTTTACCCCAACCACAGCACACATCCAACATTTGTCCACTGGCTTCCACAGCCTGCACATATGGCTCGCTGCCTCTCCTAAAGGAGCTGGGAACCAAGAAGCCACTGGAATAATGGCCAGAAGAAAAGAAATGGCACAATCTCTGCTTTTAGGAGGAAGAAGGTGGAAGCCAACTTGCAAAGTTTTCTTCCAAGACTTGCAAAAATGGAATCTCCTTTTTTCTCACATAGGGGCTTCCTGAGCACAGTGAGAGCAGGAGGAGCAGACCCTTCCAGTCTCACCATAGCTGCCATTCCCAGAGACACAGTACAGTGAACCAAGGGCACCCCCAAGGCGGAGTGGCCTTGTTTGCTGATTTGCTCAGTTTTGTGTAGAAACGGCTGAGACAGCAAGGAGGCATTTTTAATTTCACCAGAGTTAATATTCAGTCAGCACCTTCTCCTCCTCCCCTTTTACAGATGAGAAAATGATCAGTACCAGGGAGTGGAGTGTATCTCATTCTCGCATCTTTATCCAACAGCCTCATTTCAAAGAGGTGGCAGAGATGAGCCTTACTCCCTGGAGCAAAGCCTGCCTGCCTGATATTTATGAGCTAATTTTCAGGTTAATAGGAAGTAAACAAAATTCTATAAAATATATTACAGTTTTCGTCAGTCATCATCTATGAGCTATTGCCAACTTCCAGCCAATTTCTTTTTGATTTTTTTTTGAGAAACCTAAAAAAGACAGAAAAGCCCAATTTCTTTCTTAAATATTTTTTTCTGAATCCATTCATGTGTGTATATTTAGCACGCACAATGTGCCAGGGTCCATGCTAGATTCTGAAGACCCAAAGATACATAAGACAGCACTGCTGCAGGACAGTTGTTCCCACCTGAGCAGCTGGTGAATGACTGCAATTGTGAGTTCTTCTGAACACATTAAGTTCAGGGTCCTGGGCCCAGCAAGAGTTTGAACATTTCCTAGAGCAGGATCCATAGACCACAGCAGCAGCCAGGCAAGCACAGTGCCTGTCCTGTCCTGCAGCCCACCCGGTACTTTCCTGGGTGTCCTGGCACCCGCAGGAGCACGCTGGGTATTTTTCATATTTTCCCCCATTTGGCCATTTTGACCCTCAACATAACCATGAGAAGCTACAGGCAAGTTTCAGCTCAGTCTCCCACCCCGTGCTCAGCTGTTGATGCTTTTCTTTGCTGTTCCCTTCGGGAGAACTACTGAGAGTGAGAGTCTCTGGCCAGACAGGAACTCAAATTCCCTGCTATTCCTTTTCAAGTGGTTGATACAAAATTTGATTTGTTATTGAACATAATAGAAGTATTACTGCAGCGTGTTTTGATTGAACCAGAGATAATACCTTAAAACGGCCAACTTTAAACAAAACCAACTCTGCTTAGATTCCCATTAAAAATATTGGTACTTGCTTCAAGCTATGGACTGGACCCCTGGGGTGGCTGTGAGTGTCCAGAGGTGAGGAGTGCACAGGTACACCCCGACACCCTCCCAGGAATACCCATGGAGTGCCCGAGGGGCCACAGCCTGGCCTGCCCAGCCGCTGCGCTCTCTCTGCTTACTCCGTCAGCCGCCTCCTCTCAGTGAAGCTGATTTCCGTCCCGTCAGAGGAGATCTGCAGAGCAGGATGAGCTGTCTCTCTCAACAACAGAAACCTGGTTCCTACAATGGTTGAGAAAATAGGAAAACATTGGCACAATGTCCAGTGCTGGGCCAAGCCCCACGTTTCGGACTTGGTCTGCCTTTTCCCTGACATCAGAACCCTCTACAGTGGTTTCAGACCCAGCTTAAAATGTCATGCATGCTGAGGGGTCCGTGTGGGTTGATCATGACTGCCTGGGCCACAGGAGCGTCCTGTTCGAGGGCTCTCTCTGCCGGGCCACAAGCACTCGCTTCACCGGCCGCCCGCACACAGCTCCCCCTAGGCACCTGAGCCAGGCCCTGGCCCTTGAGGGTGCCCCTCTGGGCCCACAGGGAAAACACTCGTGGTGTGGGTGGGAGTCCTTATCCCTCACCCAGGCTGCCCTGCCTATACCCCAAACAAGGCCGAGGCGCGAGGGCAGTGAAGTAACGTGCACCCTCAGCCTCCTGCATCTCTGTCCCTGGGACAAGGTAACAAAATGACCACCTCCTTCGACAATAATTGAGAGCAGCCAAAATTTTTTTTGTTAGAGTCCTACGGGGATTTTCCCCAAAATGTCATTGAACAGTTTTATTGCTGTTCCAAGTTATTCATTCAACACACATTAATTCTCACAAACTAAAGTAAACAGAAAGAGACCAGAGACTTGTTCATGGGCCTCACAGTGTGACAGACTAGCACTGTCCTCGTACCCGCACATGCAGCACCCCATACCCATAGACCGCAGCACACAGAGAGGGACACTCAGAGTTCACGGGCAGAGTCCTAAAACCTCAAGTGCTCAGGCCCATCGCCCGGTCAGCTCGATGCGTTTCTCCCGAATGGGACAGGGAAGCACTATGTTTTGAACCGAACAATAAAGGAAACATCTTGACCCCTGACCAGTCTTGGGGCCTCAGGACAAAGGCCACAGCTGGCAGCAGGTTGGGCACTGCTGGAAGCGGGGGTTGCAGGAGGAAAGGAATGAGATGCTTGTGCGAAGGAGGAAGCACCTCTGGTGGAGATGAGGGCAGTGTCGCTCTGTGCACTCGTCCCAAACACGTTCATGGCTCTCACATAGAACAAGTAATCAACGTTGGGTTGGAGCTTCACTTTCAGCTGGAGTCCTTTAATTCCAGAGAAAGACCTAAATACAAAGGGAAAATAATTTTAACTAGAAGGTCATATGCTAAATGACTCATATTTCAATTCTGCACTGAATATACATCTTTTATTAATGTCAAATAACTTATTTTCTTCTCTTTTGTGATCACTGGAGTTAGCAAGCTAGATTCAGCAAAATGGCCACTGCCCACTCAGGTTACTTTATCAAATCATTTCTGTTCTTGTCAACTTGTGTCCATTATGTTCCTTTCAAAATGCTCTTTGGAAAAGAGCCAGACACCTTTTAAAATCTTTTTTTCAGAACAACAACAACAACAATAACAACAACAGCAAAAACTAGTGATTTTGTGGCTAGTAACTCCAAGAATATATTATTTCCTTTATTAATTTTTTCTCTATTAATTTTCTGGCTGAGAATGTAGGAACAGGGGGTCATAGGCAAGAAAAAGGATAAAATAGGATCTCGTTGAGCTTTATTAAAAATCAACAGGAAAACTTACTAAAAGCAGCTTCTGCCTCTACAGGTAGACTCTGCAATTAGAGTGATTAGAAAGACAAAGGAGGAGGAGGGAAGCCAGACCGAGGGAGGCGCCAAGTAACACAGTTACCCTAAGAACTTATCGGGAAGCTTAGCACTGAGAAAGCCAGAAACATAAAGGTGGCCGAAACCAGCCCCCTCGCCCACCTGACAGAATGCAGATGAGGTAAGAGGAAGCCTCCTGAGGACTCTCATTTAATATATAAAGCACACACGCCCCTTTACTCAGTCGCTAACTCTGTGCTACCTTCCTCTGAGCCCTCCACACACACATCCATCACAGAGAGGAGGAAGAAATCAAAGGGCCAGATAGAAGGTAGACAGAGGTGCCCAGGTTAGGATCTGTCTTGGTTAATTAAACTTTTCCCCTTGCTGGATCAAAATACCTGACACCCAAAGTTAAGGAAAGAAAGGCTTATTTAGCTCACAGTTTATGGAAGTTTCAGTCCATAATCAGCTGGCTCTAAGGCAGGGTGGCACATGGCAGAGGGCAACAGTTCATGGTGGCGTAAAACAGCAAAAGCAACAAGAGGAAAAGGAGGAACAGCAGAGAGCAAGCTTCTTTCCCTCCCTTACATTGTATGCAGGCAGCCCACTCTAAGGTAGGTGTAGCACTCACACCCATAATCCCAGCACTGGACCATGAGTCAATCAAAAACTAGAAAACTGCCCTATGATTTCATGAGGCTTTGGGGGTACATCCAGACAGAAATCATAACAGGATCCAAGATAACCAGAGAGCGAGTTGGATGGTGCCAACTTCCAGGTACCCATAGGGTTGGGAGAAATCACTAATCCTAAATAAAAAGGAGCTGAGGACAAAAAATCCCCAGGTATTTCACCTTCAAATACTCCTTATTCATCCTCTTCCCCACTTTCAAATAAATTGCCTTCTTTTATTTTAAACTCTGCTTCTTGAGCTCTTTCCTGATGCTGGGGTTAGGATGACGGGGAGCTGTGTTCTCCAGCAGACCAGTGGTTTGCTATCTACCCCTGGGTGTGACAAGAAGACTTACAGAATAAGATGATGTTAAAAAAAATTATGATACAAAAATCTTTAAAGAGGATAATATCTTTTAAAACAACAGTCCTGGCAAAGAGAGTTCTAACACCCACTCCCTAAAAAAAATCCTTAAAGTTGCTTTACTTATTTATTTTTGTCTTTTTGAGGCAGGATTTCCCTATGTAGTTCAGGCCTTGAATGCGCTGTGTAGCCCAGGTTGGCCTCAATCTCACAGTGATCATCCTGCCTCAGCCTCTGAGTGCTGAGATTGCAGACGTGCACTCCCACATCTGGCCTAAAGTTGCTATTTTTAGACAATCCGTTTACATTAAAAGGAAGTGGTGGCAATGGCTGGGCAAGCACGCTGTAGCCCTCCAACCACTGAAGTACAAGTGACCTTGCTGCAGTCGCCCCAGGACTCTGCAGGTGTGCTGATCTGGAAGAGTTTTGTGTTTTTTTTCTCATTCTCTTTAATCTGCTGGACACCATGGGCTGGAGTCTTGATAGCAGTGCACAGGCCTCTTTCTGCAAGCCTCCATCCTTGCTAGGCTAACGCCAGGCTTCCTGTGTATCAAAGAACCCTGGCCCAGGCCTCAACAGCTTCTCCGGGAGACTTGTGCTATACAGCGATCAGTGAAAATAATGAAAAGCACAGCACAACTAACTCCCTGCACGCTCATTCTCAGAAACAAGGGTGAGGAAACTGTTTGATTTTTCTTTTTCTTTTCTTCTCTTCCTTTCTTTCTCTCTCTTCATTTTTTGGCTGTTGTTATTGTTAATGAATGCACCAGAAAAACATTAAAATCAGTGGGGTGACAACACTTCTGTCGACTTCTTTAACATTTCTAAAGCTACCTTAGGGGATAGCATAGGAAATTAGAAAAATAAAAATGTATCACTGCCTCAAAAAAAGGTATCCTGAATGACAGTCTCACCTCCAACCCACAGCATAAAAAACCATGTTTGAGGATTGAGTATGTAATTCAAACTAATATCTAGAATACTATTCTACAGCAGATGTAGTGCTTATGTTATTTAAATTGATGAGTAAATAAATATTTCAAATGAACATTAATTATAATTAGTAATAAATTACTGTCTCAATAAGCATACTCAGCCTGAACTGAATTTCAGACTTCTTTCACTCATTAAATATTTACTGATCACTTAACTATGTTTCCAAGCCTTGTCTCTGCCTATTGCCCTGAAGCCCAACGGGTAAGTGGAAAGGAAGGATCGGGGATTGTAGCTGTAGACACCCAACAGAATATGCTGGCATCATTTTGTACCAATCCACTTGTTAAATACCAAGGATGCAGTTTTGTGAGAAAGGGTTTACTCTTAAGATTCACAAAGTTAGTCAAGGAGGAAATTCTTCATATATCATGGATGCATGCTTTACTCAGGCAAAGAATAGAGATTTATATGGCACCAGAGCCACAATATATGACCAGATCCTGCCTTCAGTGCATGAAACAGGTCATGCAGCTTCAACAAAAACACAATGCCTTCACTGAATCCATAAAATAAAAATATTGAACATGAAAACAAAAGCAACACAAAGTGTGGTGGTGTCTTACTGCTCACAAGAGTTCCCATCTTATGCTCCAGTACCAAGAACAAAGAGAACTAAATCAGGCACAAATGGTTCCTGGCCATGTCCACTTATCCTACCTGACTTCACTTACTGGTCACCAGGTTTGCACATCAACTTCTCCTGTCTTTAAACAAAACACTTCCAAAATTTTGGAATTCATGATCTGAAGATTATGACTTTCTTGCTTCAGAGCTTCAAAGTGTTCTCAGCCTGCTCATCTCTCCTTAGTGACATTTGTTAAATGCCAGTGGTATAAAGCAGAGAGAAATGAATCAGAGGAGACCCACCACCTCAACGTGCTCAGGGCTGCCATGTGCGTGAGATGGCAGTGACCATCTCCTGTTTCTGAGCTGAAGGGGTGGAAGCCACCAGAAGGCTGCCAGCTGCTCCAGGCAGGCAAGGCCTCTCTAGCCTGAGCCCTTTAGTTCTTTAGTCTTTGTAGGAAATGTCATGAAAGTTTGTCACAACTAACCATAGATAATGGGGTAAGAACCACCTAAAGGGAGAATTGGGAAGAGTTTTCAAGAAGAAATCATGAAGGACACCATGTTTATGGGGAAAATCACTAAAGGCATTCCATTGAGTCAGAGAGATTCGGGAGGTTAAAAATATTTGGAGGTAGGAGATAAAATTATTACCATTTGCATCTGTTACAACAATTTACCACAAACCTAAGAAACTCAGCTGAAAACTCTTACATAAGAGAATTGAGTAAGACAGCTTGATATGAAACTAACACATGAACTTAAAAAGCCTTCAAATACAACTAGACACAAGACAAAACAAAGGAACTTATGGAGCAGAGCGACAAACACAAAAAATGCATCAGGTTTACATAAAGAATATTTTGTAGATGGGAAAACACAGAAGACTTAAATAAGGGAAAAGATATATCAGGTTTTCTACGGGAAGATGCAACATCACAAAAATTTCAACCTTTCTTAAGTTAATCTACACATTTAACATGATCTCTAAGAATAAAAGTTGTCAAGGACCAGACACTACAGGAAGCCACACAAGCTAATTCCAAACATAATGTAAAATATAAACTGGAAAAAAGTCACAGGCCAGGGGTACAGCTCAGCAGCACAGCACCTGCCTGCCAAGGGCAAGGTCCTGAGTTCGATTCCTGGTACCAAAAGAAAAAAAGTCACAATGGGGCTACCTATCCTGCCAGGGAATCTAAATTATAAAGTTATACTAACAAAAATAGTGTGGTACTGGGGCATAAGTAATTGGGTATGTGGGACAGACTATAAGGTTAGGGACAAAGCCAAACCATCTTCTGAGTACAATATACTTGAATGTACAAGAATTTCAGATCACAAGAAAAAAAGATGGTTTTTCTTATTAGGACAGCTGAATAGCCATAGTAAAAAAAAATTAGGACCCCTACTTCATACTTCCTATTGAAATAAACTCCAGATGGTAAAATATCCACATGATAAAATATATACATATATGCACATATATGGAGAGGGAGCACTTCAAAATATTACACAAAAACTAAAAGCTATTTTTAAAAATATAAATTCAACTAATTAACATTAAATATTATAAATGACAAAATATATTCATAAAAAGATTTGCAACTCATATCACACATGGAAGTAAGCTCCCCTAAAAAAAGAAAAACAAGAGCACCTACAAATCAGTAAGAAAAAGTGCCACAATCAAACAGGAAAAAGGAAAACAAGTAAAGGAAATGAACAAGTCATAGAAAAGGAAGTATATAGCCCTGAAATATGTGAAAAGACATTCAACCCAATGGTAGAAATGCACAATTAAATGATAATAAGATTCCATCATGCTCCTATCAAAGATCAAAAGTTGTATCATACCATGTACAGGCATACTCCTCTACTCAGTGGAGTGTAAACAGCT